CAGTACCCAAACATAAATATTAAATATGTCTCATCACATCATTAAAACATGAAAAATAAAATGACGGGTAATAATGGATTATGACGGACATATTACGTTCCTGTCCGTCAAAATGACAGACAGCGAAAAAGTCTAACGGAACCACTGCTCTACTGGGACATGTCTCCATGCTCTGATGTTCAAAAAGCTCTTTATTTGTCTCATACTGCCTGTGCTGCAGCACCTCTTTTCACCCTCTGTCTGAAACCAGAGCCCAGTCTGCTCTGATTGGTTAGCTGGCCGGCTCTGTTGTGATTGGTCAACTGCTTAGAGATGTCCCGCCCCTTAGCCTATCACGTACAATGTGTTGGAGCGCTAGCCAATAGAAGCGCAAGTGTTACATAGTGATGTCACTTTGTACTGGAAGTAAACAAAGGAGTCCAATGGAGGCGTTTCATGTGCGTGTGTGTTATCCGTCATGTTGTGTTACTTATCAGCTACAGTCTGCCAGTAATAAAGGGCATTGACTGATGTCATTGAACAGCTGAATGCACTGTATACATGCTAGAGCAAAGAGAGGGTAATGCCTAAAAAGTTAGAGAAGTTAGTTTGTCTAGAAAAATTCAAAACAGCGATGCTAATGTTACCGAACAACAACAAGCTCAGCAAACCCTCTGTGCATAATTAAGGGCTAATAATACCCAAAGTCGGAGCACCACCTTCAAACACTGAGGAGAGGCTTCCAGGCCAAATCTGTAGTTGGATTCTGAGCAGTGGAAGAAAACAAGGAGAAGAAGAAGAGAGGAAAACAAGGAAACAAAGGCAACGCGAGAAGAATACAAAGAGACGAAAGGAAAGCAAAGAGAGGGAGACAGTGAAAGAGAGCCCTGCTCACACCATGTAAGGCCTTATCCAGAAACAATGAAACCAGACTTGAGAGCAATATCTCTCAGTGTCACATTCTCGCCGTCTCCATGGTTTTAGTATTTCCTGCTTGGCTGTAACTGACTGCTGTTGAGATGAAGGCAGATGCTAGCGTAGGCTGAGCTGTTTGCGGGGAATCGAGGATTAAAAGGCCATTGAGAAGCGGCGTAAACACAAGCCAATCAGACCCTGCTGGTTCGGCTCCTGCCTATTCAATCTGGTGGTGTTGTTTGGCTCGCATGCTGAGGTGAGTCATGTTTTGGAAAGTGTGCTGATCCTGCAAACTGTCTTACTCTTTGGTTATCTTGAGGTTTAGAGTTTGAAAGAGCTTTTCTCAAACTGTCTCAAACGAGAAAACACAGACTTAAAACATGTCTCTCACTTCTCCCTGCATTTCTCCCTCCTTTCTCCATTCTCCATGTAAGTGGCTATTAGTATGATGTCAGGGTGTTTCCACAGGTTAACCGAAGGTGAACAAAAAAGAGAAAACCTGAAACCTTGAATACATGAAATATTAAACTACATGTCAACTCTCTATGAAAAAATCAAGAACAGAGATACTAACAACCACCCGTTCACCAGCATATCCTCCTGCTATGAATCCTATTCCATTGAAGTGAATTCAAGGAAGAAAAACGGAGATCAAACTGTCCAAAAACTGCACGTCCTGCAGATGGTGACACTTCTGAAGCTATAAATATATATAAATGCTATCCTGGCTCCGAAATGCTGGAATGAGCTCCCCATTGAAATCAGGACAGCAGATAGCTTACACATCTTCCGGCGCGGACTGAAAACTCATCTCTTT